CAAGTAAAGGTAGAGGATATGACTTGAATTAAAAAAAAAACTATCATTTAACTAGTTAGGTTGAAATGGTGTACTCAGCCTAAGGTAAAAGTGATGTGTTGATTTTATACTTGTTGAATATTTTGTGGTTAAGAGAATTTGTAGGAGAGGGATTGATTTAAAATTTCTAACATCATCTTGACCTGTTACCGCAAAGACAGTGTGTTTCATATGTATGTTTTAATGGGGTGTTTAAATTGTTTGTTATTCTTTAGCTTCACCCTGTGATCCCACTTTCATCCTGGGCTGTGCTCCCTGCAATGTGATCTGCTCCATTATTTTCCAGAATTGTTTTGATTATAAAAATCAGACTTTTCTAGACATAATGGAAAAAATAAATGAAAATCTCAAGATTCTGAGCTCCCCATGGTTGCAGGTTAGGCCAAGATCCTTTTTTCTCGAGAAATCATTTGTGCTCTTTTCTCCATGAAGTCCAAATCTCTGTGTCCACCACACTGTGAAGTGAATGTGTGAACACCACAGTCCTGCCCAGAGCTTAGCATCCTGGAGTGCTCATCTGGGAAAGATAGCTGAGCCCTTTAATGATGGGTAGGAATATACATGCCCAGGATTCAGAACTGAAATTCAACACTATTGACCCTGTTCAGTTGTTCTTCCACTAAATTCCAAAGCCCAATTTCCATAAAATACTTTGGTAATTTCCTCAAAGCATGTCTACAGCAATAAAAGTCTTTCCAGGCCCTTCGGGAAAGGCTCCCATTACACACAAGTCTTGTTTTCCAGTCCCCACTTAAGGACTTCTTCAGCCCAATGGTTGGCAGAAATATCCACATTTAGGAAAGAAGAGAATGTCTCCTTCAAGGAGAGAGAATGCTGCCAGGGGACACTGACTAGGTTAGGAGTGTCTGATGTTTCAGTTGGTATCCTAACTGACAAGGGAATTGTTTTAGAGATGACAAAATGATTGGGTTTTTTGGTGTATGAACCATAAACGGATATCATAGTTGTACCCTGTGCTGAGCTGATGTTCTGCACTCTGCCTAAAGAGGTAGTGGTGTGATCTTAGGGAAGTCCCTTACTTGCTCTGCTACATAGTTACTTTATACATAAAATGTTGAGCTGTGTTTCATGATAATTTTAGGACCCTCTCAGTTCTAAAATACTGATTTCACATTTGAAGCTACTAAACAGAAATAGGAACATCAGGGACCAGCTTTGTGCTCTATATCAGGTTGTCCAAACTCCCTTAACATCTGTTGACATCTACAACATGTGAATCATGGTATTTCATTCCTTCCTATATTTCATGGTTGCAAGAAAGAATTGATGTAAAAAATGAGATAATTGATGTAAAGATGCTTTTGTACTGTAAACATGGTGTATTAGTATAGGAAATAATTATCATCTTTGATCCCCAGTCAGAATTATCTTCCTCACATATATGTATCAGCATAGAAAATGATGTATTTGTGAAGTAGAGATTCCCCTCAATACAGATACCATATTATATTAATATTTATACCACAGTTTCCAACCAGGGCTTCGTGTATAGTATATAAGTCTTCATTAAGTGTTCTATATTTAATAGACTACTGTTTTCTCTTCTAGATCTGCAATACTTTCCCTGCTCTCCTTGATTATTTCCCAGGGAGTCATAATAAATTATTTAAAAATGTTACTCGGGTAACAGGTTATGTTTTGGAGCAAATAAGGGAACACCAAACATCCCTGGACATTAACAATCCTCGGGACTTAATTGATTGTTTCCTGATCAAGATGGAGCAGGTAAAATGTTCATGATGGCTCAGTTGTTTCATTGCTTATGCATTTTATGGGTCATTGAATAGTTCTGTATTTACCAGAGATGTTTTCAGTGTTCAGGCAAACAATGGTGACAAGATTTTAAGTACTCATTGTGTGCATGAAGCTACACTAATCACTATGGAAGCTATAATATCTAATTGTTAAATAAGTTGAATATATTGATCTTCCTCTTGGGTGTTAGTATCTACCCAAGGAGAGACAGCATGACACCTCAGGTGAAATGTAAACAATTACATACAAGTTAGAAAATACAAAATACCATTCTACAATATGAATACGGGCTTTATCATTGCATACACTGTGTGAAAGAATGGAAAAGAATGACTTAATCTAGCTGGGCTTTTTGCATGTCTGTTGGTTGGAAATAAATGTTAATAAATTTGCATTGAAGCAAAAGGAAGGGTATTTCAGGTGTGTGCATACTGTACATAGCACTGCAGAGATATGTGATAGGAAAGAGTTGGTGGATGGAAGAGAGAAGCCTTAGTTGAGTGTAAAATAAAATGAATTGGCATAAATGTGGAGATGGAGTTACATATCTATATGCATGAGTCCTTTATCATTCATTGAAAAGAATATTTTTCCCACATGAAACATCTTGGCACCCTTGTCAAAAATAGACTGAAATTGGGTGGGTATATTTGTGTATTGTCAAATCTATTCCAATAATCTATATGTCACTTGTTATACCAGTAGTATATCATCTGGTAGCCTTAATTACTAGCTTTGTAGTTAGTTTTGAAATTGAGAAGTTTGAGTTATCTAATTTTGTTGTTAATTTTTAAAGTTGTTTTGTCTATTTTGGGGCCTTTGAATTTTCAGATCAATTTTAGGTTATACTTGTCACTTTATGCAAAGAAATCAGTAGTGATTTTGCTAGGGATTGCAGGAAATCTATAGATCAGTTTGCAGTTAACATCATTTAACAAATTGGAGTGAAATTCACATACCATACAATTAACCATTTTAAAGTGTACAGCTTATTAGTATTTAGTGTATTCACAGTGCTGTGTAACTACTAGCTTTCTCATTTCAAAGCTTTTCCATTACTTTGCAGAAGCATTCAATATCCATTAAATGATCATTATTCCCTCCACCCCATCATATGTTAACCTGTAATCTGCTTTATGTGTCCGTGGATTTGCCTCTTATGAATGTGTCATATAAAAGGACTCATAGCATTGTCCCTACTGCTTCTGGGTTCTTTCACCTAGTATAATGTTTTGGAAACTTAGCTAAGTTTAGTATCTATTAGTACTTTGCTTTTCTCTTTCATGGCTGAATAATACCCCATTTTATGTACATATTATAACTTTTATGCATTTGCCTATTGGTGGACATTTGTGTTGTTTCTAATTTTTGGTCTTAGGAATGATGTTGCTATAAGCATTTGTGTACAAGTTTCTTCACGGGCATGCTTCCATTTTTGTTGGGTATATTCCTAGGTGCTTAATTGTCAGGACATACAGTAATTTTATTTCTAACATTTTGAGGAACAGCCAAGCTTTTCTGCAATGACTGCAGCATTTATATTTCCACCAGCAATGTACAAGGATTACTATTTTCCCACGTAATTGCCAATACTTACTTTCTAATTTCTTGTAATTGTTAAAGCTAGTCTAGTTAATGTGAAGTTGTATTTCACTGTGGATTTAATTTGCGTTTCCTTAATGAACAATGAGGTTGAATTAATTTTCTTGTGCTGTTCCTCATTTTAATATTTTTTTTTGAGAAATGTTATTTAAGTCCTTTGCCTTTTTAAAATTGGGTTGCTTGTCTTTGTTGTTGAGCTGTGAAAGTTGATAGTTCAGGCATCATACCCTTACATATGCATAAAATGGAAATATTTTCCCCCGACATGTAGGTTGTCATTTCACATCTTTGACTGACTTTTGATACACAAACATTTTTATTTTGATGAAGATAATATGTATCAGGAAACTAGACATACACACACACACATATTTGTTACTTTGGTGTCAAATCTAAGAATCTGTTGCCAATTGTGAGTTCATGAAGATTTACCATGACTTCTTCTAAGTGTTTTATAGGTTTACCTCTTATATTTAAGTTTTTCATCTATTTTGAGTTATATTTTGTACATGGAGTGAGGCAGAGATCCAACTTCATTCGTTTCCATGTGGTTACCTAGTTGTTCCAACACCATTTTACAGTTAATGTATCTCATAGTAACGAAATAATTCCAATCCTTCCCTTCCATCCCTTCTATCATGCTGTCATTCATTCCACTTACATAAAAGCGTATATATTTATAGGTAGTATATTCATAAATATTAATCAAATACATTGCTGTTAATATTTTGAACAAACTTTTAGCTGTTAGATCAATTAAGAATAAGTAAAAACTTTTTTTACCTTTACTCATTCTTTCTTTGTAACTTTTCACTTCTTTATTTAGATATATTTCTGACCTATATAATTGTCCTTCTCTCTGAAGAATTTCTTTTAACACTTCTTTCAGGGCATTTCTGCTGGCAACAGATTTCCTCTTTTTTTCTTTTCCTGAGAAAGTCTTCATTTCTCTTTCCCTTTTGAAGCATCATTTGCAGGATATGCAGTCTTGAGTGATGATTTCTTTTTCTTAACACTTTAAATGTTTCACTTCACTCTCATCTTGCTTGCAAGATACATGAGGAGAAATAGGAATAATTCATATCTTTGTTCCTTTATAAGTATGGTGTTTTTTACCTTTGGCTTTTTCAGAAGTTTTAAGTTTATCTTTGATTTTTTGTAGTCTGAAATGTACGCCTAGTTGTAGAGTTTTGGGGTTTAGTTTTTGTTATTTGGCATTTATATTTAGTGTTCTTTGAGTTTCTTTGATCTGCAGTTTGGTGTGTGATATTTGGGTAAATTCTCAGCCATTATTTTTCAAATATTTCTTCTATTCCTTTCTCTTTTTTCCTCCTTCTGGTATTTCCATTCATGCATATGTTATACATTTTGTATTTCTCCCATAATCTTTATATATGCTTTTTGGTTTTCTTTCCTCTGTTTTTAAAATTCTTTGTTCTCTTTACTTTGGAGGATATGTCTATCCTCAGTATCAGAGATTCTTTACTCAGCTGTGTCCAGTGTACTAATAAGCTCACCAAAGGCATTCTTTATTTCTGTTACAATGTTTTGATCATAGTATTTTGGGGGGTTCTTTCGGAGGACTTTTTTTCTCTCTCCTTACATTGCCCATCTGCTCTTGCATGCTTTCTACTTCATCCACTGACTCATGAGTATATTATCCATAGTTTTATGTCCTAGTCTAATAATTCCACATCCCTGTCATGTCAGTTTCTGATGCTTGCTCTGTCAAATTCTTTTTTCTTTTTTGTCTTTTTGTATGCCTTGTAAATTTGTCTTGAACACTGGACATGATGTACTAGGTAAAAGGAACTGTTATAAGTAGGCATTTAGTGAAATGAGGGTGACATGTGGGAGGAGGGGAAGCATTCTATAGTCCTATGATTTGGTCTCAGATATTTGATGACCTTATGCCTTTGGACTATGAATTTGACACGTGATTCTCACTGTTTTTTCTCCCTTCTTAGGTGGGACAAGATAGGGTGAGTGGACTGGAGTGGATATTTCACTTCTCTCACATGGAATGCTAGAGTTGACTGAATTAAATGTTTCCCTTCCCCCATGTTTGTTAGGCTCAGATACCCTAGCAGGTGAGGCTATTGGTTAACTAGTTTCTCTTGAGGGCAGGCCGTATTACAAAGAATACAGTGCCCTGGTATATTTAAAAAGCATTCCTTTTGCCTTCCCTCTTTTGGAAACATGAAGAGATTTTTCTGCAGTTTTACTGCAAGAACTTGCTCAAGCTCCAAGAGGTAAATCTCAAAAAATTGTGGTGGTCCCTGGAAGGCAGGGTCACTCTGTAGATTTTCTCTCAGAGTTGTCCACACTGAGGTTTTAGGAATTTCTCAATTATAATTCACATTTTCCTTCCCTGACACTGGTTCTTATGGTTGTTTCCACTCGTGAGTCTTCTTTCCTGGTAAGTCTGACTTCCTGTATTCCCCTTTCAATCTTTACAACCTTGGAGGCAGTGGTTTTCCCTTTGAGTTCACATCTCTTAGGAATCCTTGAAGAGTTGTCAGTATTTCAGTCTGTTCAGCTTTTTACTTGTTCTTAGATGTGGAAATTTCCAAGCTCTTCATCTGTGAAACTATCAGATTTATTTTTCTATGCTTATGTATTTGTGAGTGAGTTTTCACTCTGTTACTGATTCCTAGCCTCATTTTATTTCGGTCAGAGAAGACAGTTTGTATTATTTTCATATTTTTCATTTTGTTGAGAATTGTTTACAACCTAACATATGGTCTACCATGGGGAAGGTTGTACGTGCACTGGAGAAGAGTATGTTCTGCTGTTGTTGAGTCAAGTATTCTTTATATATTTGTTAGTATATTTGATTCTAGTGTTGTTTAAGTCTTATATTTGTTCACTGATCTTTTGTCTAGATGTACTAACCATTATGAAAAGTTGGGTATTGAAGTCTCCCACTGTTACTGTGGGACTCTCCGTTTATCCTTTCAATTCTTTTAATATTTGCTTCATATATTTTGGTTCATACATATATAAAATTATATAGCTTCTGAAAGAATTTACCTCTTTATCCAGTATAAAACATTCCATTCTTACTTGCTCCTTTTAAACTATTTTTCATTAAAATCTATTTTTTTTCTAGCATTAGTATAGACATTCCTGCTTTATTTGGCTACTCATTGCTTGCCCAATCTCTTTCCTTTTTTCTCTTTCAACATATTTGTGTCACTGGGTCTCAAATGAGTTTCTTGTAGATAATACAGTTTTCTCACTGAAAATAATTGACATACAGCATATTAGTAACAGCTGTACAACATAATGATTCAGCATATGTGTGTATTGCAAAATGATTATCATAATAAGTATAGTTACCATCCATTACAATAAGTAGTTACAGATTTTCTTTCTTGTAATGAGAAATTTTAAGATTTACTCTCTACACTGGAATTTGACACAACATTGTAAAAGGACTATAATTCAATAAAAAATGTGAAAAAAATTTACTCTCCTAGCAACTTTCAAATATATTGTACAGTATTAACCATAGTCATCAGGCTGTACAGTACGTCTTTATTTACTTTATAGCTGGAAGTTTGTGCCTTTTGATTCCCTTCTTACATATTGACCACCTTTCATCTCTGGTAGCCACCAATGTATTCTGTGTATTTATGAGATCAGGTTTTTAAAATATTTCACATATAAGTTTGATCATATGGTATTTGTCTTTCTGTGTCTGATTTATTTCATTTAGGATAATAACTACAAGGCCCATCCATGTTGTCAAAATGTCAGAATTCCCTTCTTTTTTATGGCTAAATTATATTCTATACATTTATGGATATATGTATATATATGTAATGGAATATTTTTATACAAATTTAAATATTGGTTCTTTTAATGTCTGTCTTAAAATGTGAATTTTAATCAAAGCAGTTAGTTATATTGAAGGATTTATTTCTTTTCTGTTATTTTTAGCTCTAATGCATTTTATGGTTTTAATTTCTCAATTCTTCCAATATAGCCTTATTTTTTGTTTATCAGTTTTTTCCTTAGTGTACCTTTTTTATTTCCTCTTCAAATTTTAGTGTATTTTTAAGTTAACTTCTTAGTACTTTTAATGGGGATTACTGTTAACATCCTAAATTTATAAGAACTCAATATGAATTGATTATACAGTAGCTTCAAATTGCATGCGTTAACTCTGCTCTTATCAAACTTCATTCCCCTTTATTCAACTGGTGTCACAAATTACATTTTTATATATAGTTTTGTGCCTGGGGACATATTTATAATGATTGTTTTATGCATTTTTCTTTAAATAATACAGAAAATAAAAAAGATGTTTTTATACTAGAATACATAATATTAGCATTTCTATTTACTTACATTCTTTTAGAAAATTTATTTATTTATTTAATTGATGTATAGTTGATTTACAATGTATTAGTTTCTGGTGTATAGCATAGTGACTCATCTATACAGGTACATATACTCTTTTTCAAATTCTTCTTTATTATAGATTATTACAAGCTACTGAATATAGTTCCTTGTGCTATACGATAGGACCTTGTTGTTTATCTATTCTGTATATAGTAGTTTGTATCTCTGATCATGAACTCCCAGTTTCTCCCTTCTCCCCTTTCCTCTTTGGTAACCATTAGTTTGTTTTCTGTCTGTGACTCTGTTTCTGTTTTGTAAATAAGTTTACTTGTGTCATTTTTTTGATTCCACACATAAGTCAGATATGTCTTTCTGTGTCTGATTTACTTCACTTAGTGTGATCATCTCTAGGCCCATCCATGTTGCTGCAAATAGCATGTTTCATTCTTTTTTATGGCTGAGTAGTATTCCATGTATACCATTGTATACCACAACTACTTTATACAGTCATCTGCCAGTGGACATTTAGTTTTCTCTTATGTCTTGACTATTGTAAATAGTGCTGCCTTGAACATTGGGGTGCATGTATCTTTTTGAATTAGCGTTTCCTCTAGATATATGCACAGGAGTGGGATTGCTTGATCATAAGGTACATCTATTTGAGTTTTTTTTGTTTTGAGATGGTTTTCTTTTTTTCTTTGAAAATACTTCATTTTATTTCTTTTTCTAATTTTATTTTTAGTTTTAATTTTTAAAATGGAGATACTGGAGACTGAACCCAGGACCTCATGCATGCTGAGAATGAGCTTTACCACTGAGCTATATCCCCAGTCCCCTATTTTTAGTTTTTCAAGGAATCTTCATACTGTCCTTCACAGTGGCTACACCAATTTACATTCCCACCAACAGCTGTAGGTGGGTTCCCTTCTCTCCACAGCCTGTTCAGTATTTATTATTTGCAGACTTTTAAATGATGGCCATCTGACTTTTGATTTGTATTTCCCTAGTAATTAGCAATATTGAGCATCTTTTTGTGTGTCTGTTGGCCATCTGTCACTTACACACATATTTTTTAAAAGAATATTTATTTACTAATATACTTTTGAATTTTCATATAGTGCCTTTGATTTTAACCTGAAAGCTGACTCCATTTAGCAGTTTTTGTATGGCTGATCTACTAACCAGGAACCCCTTATCTTTATTTGGGGAGTATCTCGAAATCTCCTATTTTATGGAGGATAGTTGTGCCAGATATAGAATTCTTGGTTGACATTTTTACATTCAGGACATTAAAATATCTTTCCACTGATTTCTGATCTCCATAGCTTCTGTTGAAAAATGAGCTGTTACTCATTTGTGGACCCTTTTTTCATGATAATTCACTTCCTCTTGATGTTTTAAACATTCTCTCTTTTGCTTTGGCTTTTGGCAGTTTGAATAAAATATGCCTTGCTGTGGGTCTTTTTGGCTTTATTCTTCTTATAGTTTGTCTTGCTTCTTGGATTTGAAGTAGATTCACATACTTCACCAAATTTTGGAAGTTTTCTACCACTCTTTTTCAAGAATTTATTTTCTCTTCTTTTCTTCTCTCTTTTCTGGGACTCCCATAAAGTAGATGATAGTACACTTGATTAAATTCCATACACCCCTTAGGCTCTGTTCTTTTTATTCATTCCTTTTTCTTTTTGATATTCACAGAGGAAATTTCTGTTGTCCTATCTTCAGGTTTGCTGTTTCTTTTTTGGGTTTCCTCAAATCTGCTGTTGATACATTCTGGTAATTTTTTTTTTAAATTTCAGGTATTGTACCTTTTAGCTCTAAAATTTCTGTTTGGTTCCTTTTTATAATATCTTTCTTATCATTCCCCATGATTCTTCCACTTCTTTAATTTTCTTTAGTTCTTGTACAACAATTTGAGCATGTTTAAGACATGTATCTTAAAGTATTTATCAAGTCCAATGCCTGGGCTTCCTCAGGAATGATTCGTATCAACTTCTTTTTTTAGCTGTTAATGGTCCATACTTACCTGCTTTTTTGTATCTTTTGTAATGTTTTAATCAAATCATTCCTAGGAAAAGCACAATCAAAAGTTGGCATATACATTTGAAAACTTGGCATTCACGATATCTGATTTGTTTGGAGCTGGGACAGAGACAACAAGCACCACTCTGAGATATGGTCTCCTCCTCCTGCTCAAGCACCCAGAGGCCACAGGTATGACCAACATGGTGGACAGAGTGATTTCAAAAGAGATATTGCAAAGAGACTGGGAGTGCTTCCTACCTTGTTTCTCCTAGAGAAGTATGTAAATCTCTATTTGAGCAGCTTAATTTTTTCAAATTTAATGAAGGAAGACTAATGGGACGTCTTTACATAATATGAGAGAATGACTGAGAAGAGTGAATACACTGTGGACAGTAGCAGAATCAACAAAGCAGCATCTGGATTTTGTGGGAAGTTGTTAGTAGCAGACACAACCTGCATGACTTGGCCTGAAAGTACATCTTGGTTTTATTATAAAGGTCACTTTGATCTGTCCTCATTCTCAAAATGCAGTGTCCTAACACCAAGACAGGGAAAATGAAATCTCTCCTTCTTGAAGCATAAGTGGAAATCCTAGAATTTTAGTGAGGCTTCCTGAGATAATTTGTACAGCATGGTAAGTGCTTTAAAATTTTAGAGTCACAAAAAACTGATGTGTGTATAAAGGAGTTTTATTACTCCAGAAGGTTGCTTCCAGAAAAGTGGTTATTGCCAAAATAAGAATTTTGAGAGGTCAATAATTTTGTCTTTCACAAAGAACTTTTTGTTATAAAATAACTTTTAAAGAGTTATGGTTATACACAGCTGATTAGAAACATCCATTATCCTTCCCTGTGTCAGGATCTCACTGCAATGATTATAACCTATGACAAATGAGAATTAGTCTTTTAAAGTTAGAGGGAAGAGGTCAGGAAGCAGCCAACAAATCTCCAACAAATTTTTGAAACACAGAGAGCATATTGAGGGGTGATAATGAAGTCAGCAGAGAGGATGAAGTTGTGACCTAAATGTCAGAAAAGGAGGTTCCACAGTGAGGAAAAGTCACTTGTGTCCTTGCAATCCCCTGTAAGGCTCAGCATTTGTAAGTATCAAGTTTCAGAGGTGGCAGAGGGAGAAATAGGCTGATAAAGGTAGCTCTCCCCAACATGTCCCTTTGACAACCCTTTTCATCAGGTGACTTTTCCCCCAGTAGAATGAGAGAGGTTTACTCTCTACAGAAACTGAACCTAAGAGGTCCTACATGCAGGGGCACTGGGCAGAGGTAGGGGAAAGTGTGAGGTACACAGCTGGGGGAAAAAAAAGAAAAGTTAGGTAAGAATCCACTTCTTGAATGCAGAGACTCTTAGCTCCTTTCTCCATCCTGCTTCCTAAAATTCAGCAGCCAGACAAAAAACTCCAGAGAGTGAACACTATGGAGAAAAGACCTCCAAATGTACAAATGTACGGCAGAGTGAATGAAACAAAAACATCCACCCCAAGACACAGGGTCATGAAATTTCAAAACACCAGGGTAAAAGAGACAATCAGAAAATCTTTTAGAGATACACATCAGGTCGTGCATATAGGATTAGGGTTCGGAACAGTATTGGAAATCTCAAGAGCAACTACCAAATTGCATACTAATATAAACAAGCTATTTTCAGGCCTGTAAGTCTGACAAAACTTTCCCCCTCTTTTCCTTTTCTTATCCAAATGCCTGAAGTCATGTTAGAGGAAGTCATGGGCTCCAGGATTAAAAAACTCACGGAGAATCAAATTGTCAGGGCAGCTGCTAGATACCAGGCCTTGAAAATATCCAGTTTGAAATACATTAGGTGCATAAAACAGGTATGAGGGGAGACACCATGACCAAAAGAGAAGGGATCGATTATCTGTGGCTCCCTAATAATAGAAAAATTATTATTAGGAGTTAGAAATATCTACCTCAGTATTTGGGAAAATTCTAAATAAAGATGTAGAATTTTGTGAATTGAACTAGAGAGACATGGTTAAGTACAAGAAAGTACCAAAAATGAAGATTAATCACTGTTGTCTTAACAGGGAGTATTATAGTTCTATATACACAGGATGATATTCAGTACCTTGAATTAGCCTATAATGAAAAAGAGTTTGAAAAAAAGAGTTTGAAAAGGAATACATATGTGTGTGTGTGTGTAATTTATCCAGTATGCTGTACACCAGAAATTACACAGCAGTGTAATTGAATAAAAAATGAATATTTTAACAACAAAAAATTGTGGTCTAAATATGTTGGGGAAATGGACTAAGGAGATTTATGTATGTGTGTGGGTATATATTTTGTATGAAGTGTGGATGAAGATGTGTATTCCAACTCTCATACCAGGAAATCAGGTACTGTTTAAAATCTGTAAGTAAGAAATAGAAACAGAGAGTCATTATTTAGAAATATAGCATAAATTTCATAAGAAACTGCTAGAATGTTGAAAGTGGTGGCATTTGGCAATTGGAAGAGAGTACCATTGCAAACTGCACACACACAATACACAAATACATGAAAACATATATGTTATCATTTGACTTTTCAACTCGTATTATTCAGAAAGAAAAGTAGTATTTGATTCCTGTTTTTCTTTCTGCAAGGACTATAATTCCTTGACATTATGTTCGGTTTATATTTGAAATATTTCATCATTTCTCTTTGTATTATCTTGTATGCTGATACAGAGGTTTGTGTAGATGTATCTGAAGCCTAGCTTGTAGGAGACTTACATGTATCTGTAGTATGGCAATTATCTCTATATCTAGGTGCACTTCTGGTCACATAACTGATGTTTTTAATGATGTTGGGACACCTTCCTGAGGTTTCATGTATTCCTGAATTGGTATGCAAGTGTGTACTTTTCTCTCTTTTCATCAGTCTTACTTGTCTCTTAAATCAGCTAAGGTCCAGGAAGAGATTGACCATGTGATTGGCAGACACCGGAGCCCCTGCATGCAGGACAGGAGCCGCATGCCCTACACGGATACTGTGGTGCACGAGATCCAGAGATACATCGACCTCGTCCCCACCAACGTGCCTCATGCCGTGACCTGTGACGTTAAATTCAGAAACTACCTCATCCCCAAGGTAAGACTGGTTTCACTTATACTGACCGCAGTGGTCTTGAAGTTCCCTTTTCACAGTATGGGTGCAGTCCTCTGGGAACACAAGATGGAGAAATGAAAAAAAAAAAATCATAGATGTGGTGCCTTGATGGGCTGTATGCAGTTTCCAGTTTAGTCTATAAAGCTTTATAGCAGGTTTGAGAACTGGCAGTCTAAGTATTCGAAATTTGTTCTGATTCTTTTAGATTATTTAGCTAATCTTAGCTGTTTATATTTCCAAATGAATGTTAGTACCACTTTGCCAATTTACCAAAACACACTACTGGGATTTTTATCAGGTGACATTGGATCAGTTTAGAAAGACTTACCGTGACACATTGAATGTTTTAATGAATGAATATGAAATATGCTTCTAATTTTGAAAGGCTTTCTTTAATTTTCCTAATAATGTTTTCTTTATTTTCAGTGCATTAGCTTCCATATCTTTTGTTTATTTTTCCCTAGGGGTTTATTGTTGTTGTTATAAATATTTTAAAATGCTTTTTCCATTCTTTTAACTGGAATATGGAAATATAATTGAGTATATCATTTGATGACTTTATATGTAGCAACCTTGCTAATTTAAAATAAAATAATTGCTAAAAATATGTCTCTAGAATAATTGCAGTTTCTGCATACATTGTCCTGCTATCTGGGTCAATATATTTTTTTCCCCCTTATTTCATTTCTGGTCCCCAGGAGAGTGGAGATTAACATCTCACTATTGAGAATGATGTTCTGTGTACATTTTGTTATTTTTTTTTAATCAGATTGGGGAAGTTTACTTTCATTTTTAATGATTTTTTTTGGTCATGAACATATATAATTTTTTCATATTGATATCTGCATTTACTTGTATGATTGCATATACTGTCCTCACTTTTTCCAATAAATATGTATTGTAAGTATGTACATACTCAGCTGGATTTGATTTGTTACATCTTGTTCAGGACCTCTCTGTCCATAGTCATAAGAGAATTTTGGTCTAGAATTTTTTTTCCTCAAATTTTTCTCATTAGATTTCTGTTATCTAGGTAGTGCTAGTATCATAAAACTAGGTGGAAAATGTCTTCCCCTCTTCTTACTTGTGGCCACTTAGTTGCATCTTTGAAATGCCTGACTCCTTTTTGTTAAATATCAGTTATTACATATGAAGAAATGTAGAATTTCAGAGGTATGTATCTTCTTCCAGAAAGGGTTCATCCCTCTCCCACTGGGGAGGTAGAATGATGTAACACCTTCTGTTTTGAGTACAGTTTGGACATTGGCACAGACTAAAATTAACTTTAGATGTCAGCTTGTCTCTCTGAGAACTCATAACCATGGAATATTGAGACACATTTTTGTCTTAGCAGATTTCTTTTTTTTTTTCTGTCTTAGCAGATTTCTAATGCTTTCCAACACACAATTTCTCTATATATTCAGACTTTATAGTTGGTGTACTGTGAGCTACTCTTACTCACTTGAAGCCAAGACATTACTATTAAAATTGAAAATAATACAACTGATGTTTGTATTTTGTTGAGGGAAGTAAGTAATGAGATTTTTAAGGCTGCAAGTTAATGCCAGTATTTGGAGAAAACAGTATTGATGACGTTAAGTAAGAGATTATGGGACTTGTCTCAGTGATCATAGATTTGGTATAAAGGGTTAACACTTCAAGTCCACTATTTTTTGACCAAAGGACACAATGGGAGAAAGATTTTTCTTTTTTAACATTGTAGTCTAAGGTAATAATTACTCAAACTTATTTCTCCTCTTATTTCTTCATAAAGGGGAAGCAATGTGGTAGAAATCAGAATGGGATTGCCTACCTCTTATAACCACTGAATCAGGAAATGACCATCATATTGTCCTATTCCCAATGTGTATGATAGAAATGGCCATTTCTTTCTGCATGGATATTCCAGGGTATAAATTGGAACACTGGGTAGCTAATTCTATCTTTTTACAAATGGATAAGTGATTTATTTTACCTAAGGCTAAAGCCACAGAGCTAGGTAGAGATAATAGTCTAAGACAGGAGTTTGTAAACTTTTTCAGTAATGGGCCAGAGTATAAATATTTCAGACTTTGAAGTCTTGGAGTGTATGATTCTAGTACTCATTTATATTCTTATAGCATGGAATCTGTCATGTGACATATTTAAATAAATATGAGAATGGCTATATCCCAATCTTTGTGGAAGCTGAAATTTAGATTTCATATAATTTTCATATGTCACAAAATGTTGTTCTTCCTTGATTTTTTTCAGTTTAAAATGGTTATTAGCTCATTGTACAAAAACAGGTGGTAGGGTATATTTGCCCGTGTTGTTATTTGTCAGTATCTAAAACTGTCTATCTAATAGAACATTTGCAATGCTGTGGGGTTGATTTGTGTGGTTTGGGGTTTTTTTTGTTTGTTTGTTTATATAAAGAACATTTCCCAGTGCAGGATCCCAAAGATTTACCCTTATCTATTTCTAAAACTTTATGTTCTTAGTGTTTACATTTAAATCATTGATCCATTCGGATCATTTTTATTTATGATAGGAAGTAATAGTTTTCTTTTTTCTATATGAACATTTAGTTGTTGGAACAACATTTGATGAAAAGTATATTGTGTTTTGTATGCTTTCTGTATCTTAAAGATTTTTATCACTTTTATAAAAATATACAAGGAAATAATTAGAAAAATAGAGTAATAGACCTTTTTACATGTTAATGTTAGGGGATGGAAGTTTTCCCCTAATATTAAAATGTTTTAAAACTTACAAATATTACAAACATGCATATGTAAGTAATATATGAATTTGTTTATATATACACTTTTGCAACGTGGATGGGAAAAATCAATAAGTAATCTATAAAAATAGGAAAGAGTTTTATTTGAGCCAAACTGAGAATTATAGTCCAGGAGACAGCCTCTCAGATAACTCTGAGGAACTGCTCTGGAGAAGCATGGTTTTCAGCACAGTTTCGTATCTTTTCAGAACAAAGAACATCACAAGTCAGGGACACATTCGTTCAAGGTCTCAAAAAAAAACCAAAACAGATCAGCATGTACACGGTGAGTCAGTATGACCGTGGCACCTGCAAAGGGAGTCATATTGTTGTAGGACTTCCAGCATTGCCATCCCAGGAAGGGAGGAATTTAATCTTTATTTTTAACATGGACATTCTTTATTTCTGGTCAGTGAACCCTTTAATGATTAGAGGAGATGTACAGTGTATGTTTGATAGGCTACAAACAGGCTATTTTACTTAACATAAAATTCAAGTTAAATTTGTGTATAAGCCAGAATGACTTTTCCATAACTCATTATGTGAAAACTCCCATTAGTATCCATTTATTGATCTATCCATCAACACCTCCTTATTTCAGTATGTATATCTCAATGTTTTTGTATGCAGAACAATAAAAACATTTATATTCAAGAGTTATCATGGATAAAATAATATTATCTAATGTACAGTCTGTATATAAAATTTCCCAATTTTCCTGAAATAACATTTATAGCATTTTTTTTCTTTGCAAATCAATATCCAGCCCAGGAACAAGCATGTGATTTGGTTACCTTTCCCTTAGTCTCCTGTTATCAGTTCTCTGTTTCCTTTTAGTACATTTAACTTTGTGAAGAGTTCAGTTTAGTGGTCATATAAAATATTCCTTTCATTTTTTGGATTGTATTCTAGAGATAGATTCCAGTTCTGATTTGCAAGAGAACCTCATGGGTGCTTTGTATGTCCCACCGAAATTCACTGAGGAGGTGGGGGGCACATAATGTCACTTATCCCATTATTTGTAATACAGTGTTGTTCACATGATAAAGTAAAATATGCCAGATTTCTCCCTGACAGAGGTCTTTTTTTTATGTTTCATTAATAAAAGTCAATTGCATGGTACTGTAGGGCTTTGTGAGTATCACGCTTCTCAGTTACTGACCTAACAGTTTTAGCATTAATAGATAAAACTTGCTTGAAGATCCTAAGCTTAATTGTTGTAAGATGATTTTTCTAATTTTATCATTCTTCCGTTTTCAATCCTTTTCTCATCATGTAGTTTCACCACTGAAATGTATCTGCTATTCTTCATACTCTGTAACATCTGTATTGGTCACCACACATGCTGGTACTTCTCTAATACTGAGCAGTACTATATACATAGTACTGTGTACTCAATACAAAATAGAACAAGATAAGTAGTTGATGCCAGTGCAAGCCATTTCTCTTGTTTATATTCTTAATAAAAATTATAATTTGATGAGCCAGTTCTCAGACTTTCCTTCTTTTGTGCATATTGCAGTTAAGAAAAGAAAGAAAAAAATGCAAAGAAGTCATGCTTATCCTCCAAATGATATGCACAGAGAAGTACAAAGGAAATGAGAATAGAAAAGCTCCCTTGGCTGAATGCCTTCTAGAGTTACTTGAGGTTTGGATTTGAAAGTGAGAGAAATTGTTTTCAGGAACAGCTTCACCCTGTAGGGAAATACTGAAATCAGTGATGGTGAGAAATTAAATTCAAAGTAAGCCTCAGAATGTACAAATGAAAATCAGAACTGAAAGCATTGAAATTGTATGCAGGAAATTACTAGAAAAAAAATCAATGAAACCAGAGCATATTCTTTGAAAAGTTCAATAGAATTGATAAACCCCAACCCAGCCTACCCCCCAAAAAGCAAAAAGACAAATTATGCAAGTTGTAATTAAGAGAGCGGCTATCTGCTATAGACATAAAAAGGATAATGAAGGACAATTATTCACAACTCTTATGTCCACCAACTTGATAACTTAATGGAAATGGAACAATTCCTTAAGTACATGGTCTTACAAGAAGCAGTAACATCAATAATATGGCATAATATTAAGCTCTGAACTCTCCTTCCCCCAGTGGGCACACTGATTCAAAGCAACACATGAATCAGTTTCCTAGTAAAAAAATGTCCAGAGACTAGTTGAAAGCCTTCTGTACTCTTAGTGAATGTGAATCCAGCCACATCAA